ATATTATATTTATATATTGTTATATTATTAATTATAATAAAATTAAAAAAATTGAGTAAAAAAAGAGAAATTCTATTTTTTATTTAATAAAGAAATTAATTTATAATTTTATATATAAAAAAAATAATTTAATACTTCCAAACTTTTAATCCAAGTTCCATCACTGGCGTAAGTATAGGCCTGTAAAACAAGATACTTTTGTATAAAATTCTTCTGATCAACTTCTTCTTTGACGATTAATTTAGGCCTACGATCATGAAAATATAGTTGATGCGTTAGTTTATTAGCCTTAGATTTTGTAGCTGATCCACAAGGTTCAGTATCATGAAATTTCTAGTGGCATACCAAATTTAATACTATAGCAGAATACGATTCATTTTGGAGACATTTTTCACGTCTCATTATGTAAGAATTACTAACATGGTATAAATATATGAGAATAATATAAATAGATCATATAAATCTTAGGCAGAGTACTCTCCACCCCTCTTTCTCAATCTATATATGTATAACTTTTAAACACTTATTCTCTTATTATAAATATTGACTTTAACATCAAAAATTTTATAAAAATATCTCTAGAGTTAAGCTTGCATAAACATTAAAAAAAAAAAAATATTATATTTTAATATTTAATTTCTCCACTCAGGTCTAGTGCTGAAAAAACAATCAGTTGTGAGTAAAATATTCAACTAACATTTCTCTACCACTTCCAATAATTTTTTCATCAATCATTTCATTCTTTATTTGTATTTTTAAGTACGCGTGCTTTTATGCCTCATTTGCTTCTGACTTTTCGTGATTATTGATTTCTTGTTTGGAATTTGTAACATTATATATATATGTGGCCATACTCCTCGCAACAACTAGTTTGGTCATCTCATTATTTCAAACGTGAACACAAAAACGTGAACAAATTCTTGAAGTATAATATGTTTACTTATAAATACGACTAATTAAAATTCCTTAAATAACATTAAAATAATCTTTCAACAAATATAATTATTAAAATAACATATTTTAATCTCTTGATTGATTGTATTGAATAATAAACAAGAGTTCACAGTATTTTACTTTCTAAAAAAATTATAAATTTTAATTAATTTTTGTTCTAAACTTTAAAAATCAATAAAGTACAAAAATATTACACAAAAAAATTTATATTATAAATATAATATATATATATATATATATATATTTGATATATATTTACATAAAATTTTATTTTAAATTTTGAATAAAATTTAATAATATATTTTATGTACCACTATATATAATATAGATACATACATACCAATATATTATATATATATATATATATATAATAAAATTAAAAATAATAATAAATATTGTATATTATGGGATATATATCAGTACATAATTTTTTGCAGTGATAATTTGAATATTTAAAAAATGAAAAATTAAGAGTTGGTTAAGATGAAAAAGAAGAATAACCCAATAAAAAAATATCGTAATAGAAATTCTTAAATTAATCCTTGATAAATAAATAAAAATGATTTTTGTTATATGAATAAAATTATAAAAGAATAAAACAGCCGCCTTAGTACTTTGTAGTTTGTACTAGTTACGTAACTGTCACTGCTGTTCTGACAGCTCTATTTGTCGTTACTATATCGTGGACTCCCAATAATCCCAACCCTAGAGTTCCCCATATAAACTTTTCCTCAATTACTCATAAATTCTCCATCTTTCTTCCTGTTTAACTTGGGTCTTCTTGGAGGTTAAAAATTATTTATTTATGTAAAAATTTCGACTAAAAGATTCTTTGCTTATCGTTTTGCAATTTTTTATATTCTTTACAAGTATTCTATTTATAACTTACTCTTATTAGTGATTAAGCCTTTTGCCGTAACTTGACTATAAGGGTATGAAAATAAAATCATTAGAGCAATTAATTATATATATATATAATCAATTACAATCTGAATAAATTAATAAGCTTTAAATTATGAATACATAAAAATCGAACGAAAACATCATGAAGGTGGTTTGGAATTGAGTAATTGAGCAGTTTTAAAGCGTAAAAAAAATTACATGTAGGAATAGTTTGATTATGTAATAAAATAAAAAAAGATGAAAAGGTTTGGTAAGAAAAGAAGAAGTGTGTCAAAAATTGGCTAGCTTGATGCGTTGAAAGAAAGAGAAGTAAAATATAATGATTGACAGTTAATTATATGGTAATGCTTTGCGGATTCTCATTCCAGATTGTACCCAATTTGTCACACGCTTCTTCCCAAAGAGTCAAAGACTCACTCAACGCTACTCGTAGCTTCGCGCCTTCGTCAAAAATATCTCGGTACTTGTCTACACCAATTCAATTAATCTCTCTTAGTGGATTTGCTTTTTGCAATGCATCTTATTCCCACTGTTCCACCGCATTTATTTATATTTCTATATTTTTAAATTATATATAAATTATTTTATAAGAACAGCCCTCTCTCTTTTAAGATGTTAAAAAATATAGATATTTAAATTTTGCTTGATCACATTAGTATTTGATTTATACAATAAGATTTAAAATAGAGGGGATATATTCATAAAAGCTTTTACGCAACTCACTCTTGATCCAAGTCAAATGTGCTTGTGGTGTAGTCAACCTATGGCGCTTTGTATTTACGGCTCAGAATGAATAGTCATGTCTGGTAACAGTTGGTAAATAGACTAACCACCAAGCACCAACTAATGATATACTATTAAAACGCTAATTCTAAGTTTAAACAATATTTATCTCAGCCAGCAATTAAATATTTATATTTTACAAAAGGGAATTTTAAAGTGGAAGCCAACCGGTGTATCGGTGACAGCGAAAGATCCCAACCCACACAAAAACTTCTATATAAACCCAACTCCTCCATCACACACTCTCTGTCCCGTTCCACGCTCAATCATGGAACCACCATTCAACCAGCAGGCGCCGCCGCGCGCCGCCACTATCCTCGGAAAGTACCAGCTCACGCGCCTCCTCGGCCGCGGCAGCTTCGCCAAGGTCTACCAGGCGCGCTCCCTTGTCGACGGCGCCACCGTCGCCGTCAAAATCATCGACAAATCCAAAACCGTCGACGCCGGGATGGAGCCGCGCATAATCCGCGAGATCGACGCCATGCGCCGCCTCCACCACCACCCTAACATCCTCCGAATCCACGAGGTCATGGCCACCAAGACCAAGATCCACCTCATCGTCGAGCTCGCCGCCGGCGGCGAGCTCTTCTCCAGAATCTCCCGCCGCGGCCGCCTTCCGGAGGCCACCGCGCGCCGCTACTTCCAGCAGCTGGTCTCCGCGCTCCGGTTCTGCCACCGCCACGGCGTGGCGCACCGCGACCTCAAGCCGCAGAACCTCCTCCTCGATGGCGACGGCAACCTCAAGGTCTCCGACTTCGGCCTCTCGGCGCTGCCGGAGCAGCTCAAAAACGGCCTCCTCCACACCGCCTGCGGCACGCCGGCTTACGCCGCGCCGGAGATTCTCCGGCGGTGCGGCGGGTACGACGGGTCGAAGGCCGACGCGTGGTCCTGCGGCCTGATCCTCTACGTCCTCCTGGCCGGGTACCTCCCGTTCGACGACTCCAACATTCCGGCGATGTGCAAGAAAATTTGCCGGCGGGATTACCAGTTCCCGGAGTGGATGACGAAACCGGCCCGTTTTATTATCTATAAGTTACTGGACCCGAACCCGGGCACGCGAATGGGCCTGGAGGCCCTGTTTTGTAATGCGTGGTTTAAGAAATCACTTAAAGCGGAAACCGCGGAGGAAAACGCGTTGGACTGGGAGAATACTAATACTAAAAATAACGTTTATGATAAGGGTTCGGGTTTGACCGCGTTTGACATTATATCCATGTCTTCGGGTTTGGACTTGAGGAGTTTATTCGAAACGACGTCGTGTAGAAGAGAGAAGAGGTTCAGTTCGAGTGCGAGAGTGGAGGTGGTGGAGGAGAAGGTAAAGGAAGTGGGTGGGGTTTTGGGGTTTAAGGTTGTTGAGGTTGGGAAGAGTAACAGTGCTGGTATTGCTTTGGTGAAAGGGAAAGTGGTTTTGGTGTTTGAGGTGCTTGAGATTGTGGCGAACGAGCTTCTTTGGGTGGCTGTGAAGGTTGTGGAGGGTGGCTTGGAGTTTGAGGAACATCATTGGGAGGATTGGAAATCCGCGTTGCAAGATCTCGTCCTTTCTTGGCACCACGAATCGTGAAGTTCCGTATGGACATTAATTTGTATATACTATATACTATATAGTCACTCGGTGCTGTGCGTTTTTGTTAGATGATTTAGTTCTTCTCAAGTGAAGGATCTAGACATGATGACAGAGAGAGACATCACAAGACGTTGTCCTGATGAGAAGAAGCAGCGTTGATGCTTGTGAGCAAATAATTTCACTATTATGTGCCGTAGCTTAGTTCTAGTTACACGTGTATTAATTTATGATCGTTATGAACATATGAGAATACTATATGGTGACTAATGTTTGCTATTCTCCTTTTCAGTTCATGCCATAAATTTGTGTTTTCCTAATGGTCATTTTGTAACAACTTCTAATGTACACACTTTCCTATATATATATTATATACTAGTATGAAAATTACTACCCGTCAACTTTTTTTTTGTCGGTTTCCTACATTTTTTTTTTTTTTTTTATCGAGTCGGTTCTTTTTATATATATGATGAATGCTTTATGCATGAAAATAAATTATTTATTTACATGTCTATTATAAAAATGAAGTGTAAATAAAATAAATATAGTTAAAAATTCTTTAAAGTATTTTTTAGAATATATACTACTCCCTTCATTAATCATAATCTTTGGTTTTTTAATATTTATTTTGTTTTACAGATTTGATTTTTTTTTTAAACTTTAAAATGTAATTGGACATTTTTTTCCTCATCAATTTAAACAAAATATCAATAAATTAGTATAAGTTATAAATGGAGTAGGATTTGTTTCTAGAGGATTACAAATATTGCAGATGACGGAGTAGTTGATAATCAAAGTTTGTAAAATGACAAATGAGGAGTATAAATTAAAATTTTCTTAATATTTGTGAGTAAAAACCTTATAATTAAAATAAAATTTTAGGAATGTTGGATTACTAAATTGTAGTAATAAATATTTTTAATAAAATATAATAATAGTCTAGCTAACAACTCATGCCATTAATAATTAAATCTCAGACAAATTTGAAAAATTAAACATGAACAAGTTCCCTAAATATTGAAGAAAAATAATAGAATGGACACTAAAACTAGGATCTAATTAATAAGTTTTACAATACATAGGACTTGTTTATATAAATATATCAATTTTCATGAGATAGTACTTACGTGCATATAATTTCTCTTCTTTATAAATAGCGTCTGTATGTTCATTGGACACCTCATGACTTTATTTCGAGTAACTGAGTAATTAAGAAAGTTTTCCTGTTCTAAGGGCACAGTCGCAGGAAAAGAGACATGCATTGATATATTTTATTTGAAAAACATGTAGTCGGTTCACTTCAATCTAAGAGCATTATTGGGACCAGCAAAGTGGCAAAGTCCTAAAGGGCGTGCTCGCAACTTTCAACGGCTCTAAGGCATGCATGGCATAGTAGTATTTCATAATCAAAGTATCAAACCACTATTCATAATCATATAATATTTGAAAGGAATTATCATCATGATCTCTCTCCTGGATGCAATAAAACAAAACAGCCTCAAGAACTTGGGCTTGTGGTGTAGGATGCAAGTACCCCTCACAAAATCAAAAGCAAACCAGGGTAGTCAATTGTATATTCAAGAAACTCATGATCACGAGTGGTGGAACCACCAAGTTAGCACTCTTGTAAATACATTCTTGTATGTGTAAAACATACTTAATTGTATCACGATATTACTGTGATGATGATGTGATTGTCAATTACCCTCAAAATAACGGTATATACTCTCTAATTTATATCTCTTTTCCGTTTATTTAAAATGAAAAAATTCAAAAGATAAAGAATTTATTTTAAAAAAAGAAAAATTTAAAAGTAATTAAAGTTGAGATTTACAAATTGGTGCTTTTTTAATTTTAAAAAATATATTAGACTAAGAACTATTAGTCATACTAGTGAAATCGTGTCGTATAAGGCGGGGAAAAAATTATAAATGATGTGTTCATATTTAAAAATAAAGATCCAATTTTAATATATAAATAAATAAATAATTGATTAAATAAAATATAATTGTCAGAGGGGCCTCAAACGTTTTAGAAAAAAAAATGTACAGAGATTTCTAAATTTATTAAAATATTTAAATTGATATATCTATATAAATCATTGTGAAAAAAAAATAACATAACTTTAATTGATTGTCGTAATAAATTTAAAATATACTTGTTCAGATAAGTTGAACGTATTAAAATTAAATTTTATGACTTGTGAAGTGATGATAATTGATATCTTTTATTTATTTATTTATTTATTTATTTATATATATATATATATTACATTTTAGTTTTAGTATATTAAATATATAATATTATAATATAATTTGAATTATATATATCTTCCCGTTAGATCTTGCATTTAATTCATTTAGATAGATCTGTAAGACAATGAGCCATGCAACATATTCATATATACACAATTTACAACATGCATAGAGTATTGTTGAAAATTAATAACATGATATGATAAACCTTTAATCAGTCCAAATAATGGAATACTCCGGAAGCTGATGTTTTAGTAGATCTTTTGGGGGACTTTAATGTGGATAAAATGATAAATTATATTATAACTAAAAATCTGTTATATTGGGTCATGTTTATTTTCTTTTCTGCGTATAGTTTCAGAATGTTTCAATCCTACGAGTTAATGGAATGTTACAGCTTATAAATTGTTTCGGTGCCGACATATGAACAGATAAAAAAGGATCAATTGAGGATATCCCTACTTCAAGATAGGCACAAACATTGAAGATTAAGAGATAAAAAGAAGAATGTATCTGTCTGTGTTAGAGATTTCAAAAACATCACTAAAATATTTACAACTAGCCAACTAATCCAATCTTTCTATATTACTTATGTCAAACCCTTTCTTGATGATTAGATATGTTCCTTTTTGTTTTTCATTATATTCCTTCTCTTAAACGATAACGATAGCTTTAATTCAAATGGACGGATCTTGACATTGAAGATTTGATAACAGCCTTTCCTATTAATATTATTATATATAGAGAGCGTGGCTGATAACACTGAACATCTTGTTACTAATTCATTCTTCACGAATTTACTTGGAAGTAATCTAGTGGACGAATACTAAATTTAAAAAAAAAAACAAGAATTAGATGAAAATTTTTGTATTCAAATTTTATTATAACTTTTCATACTCTGTAGCGTTTTTGCATTTTATATATTGTTTACTCATACAAATTGTTAGTAGATATATATCTCATTGTAATTGCATGTTTCTTTGCCTTTTGACCCTGCATTTTCTTTTTCAAAATAGTCAATGTAAATTTTTATTTTTGGTTTTGTTCTTTATTGTATATTTTTAATTTTTAATTCTTAAGCGTAAATATGCATGTGGAGCACCAGGCTCAAACGCACCGAAGAGCAAAAACACAATTCTATAGAACTATGTACATATACTAAAGTTGATCTCCGTATTTTGGAAAGTACAATCATGTTGAATTAAACACAATTATGATAAACTAGTGAGGAAAACGCACTTAGGCCTCTATTATACTGTACTTGATCGCTGAACTTAAAGAATAATTAAATTCCAATAATTGAATGAACAAACTACTAACCAAGTTTTCAATTATTTTGTTTCTGTGCGCATTGAAGAGCTTTATTCAATTGAATTCTTAAATGAACAATAGGAATTAATTTAATAAAAAGATATTTCTTGCAAAACATAATTGTTGTGCACATATTTTGAGTTGTAGATATGATCTTGAGCCAAAATTAGTGGCTATGAAAAGCTAGAATAATTATTTACAACTTTTATAAAGAAGTCATGAACTAGAAAAGTTTAGATTATGGACAAATATGACAATCAAGATGAAAACATTATTTTGAATTGTAATACTAACATAGTGCAATATTTTGAACATACATATATCTGAACTTACAGATATGATTTTGAACCAAAGTTGGCAGTTATGAAAATATTGAAAAATTGTCTACAACTTTGATGAAAAAGTTGTGGGTTAATAAGGTGTCTATCATAGACAAATTATGTATGCAATATGAAAACACTAATTTGTCCATAATAACATGATGATGCTACAATGTTTTGGGAATATCTTGTGCTACAAAAGTCCAAATAACATGAAACAAAATCCTAATGATCAAGGACTAATTTATCTACAAGTTTTATGAAGACATCAAAAATTAATTTGGCCATTCGAAGAGTCAAAATACTTAATTATAGAGACTATATCAGTAAAGTTCCATATTAGAGAAAATGGAACACAAAACACGAACGAAAAAGCACCTTGTCTAAGAAGCTTACTAATGTAAGAAAAATATGTGATGTCAACACAAAACTTGGGGAACAAGACATGCTCCAATGGCTAGTGCTATTGAGCATTGAAAACATTTTGATGAATCTTGCTTTATAATGGTTGCATGTGGATTTTGTTGTTATATTTGAGTTGTCTAGATTATGTATGTATTGATTGGTGCATTGCATGCTTAGATTTTCTGAGTTTCAGGTGTGGAGAACCAAATTTGTGAATCTGCTAAGTGTAGAATTCATCATCACATTAAGTGTGACATGGGTCAGAGACTCTATATCGCATTGATGTCAAGCATGGGATGGGTAAAGTCGAACGTGAGTGAGAGAAAAACTCTATGACTTGATCATGCTGGGTGTGGGTCGAATGACACAAGGTAGGGAAGCCTTGGAGCTCTCAACCTTGGTGACGTCGGACCCTAGTTGAGTGGCGCTAAGTGTGATCAAGATAGAGATTCTCTATTTGAATTTATATGTTGATGTATGAAGTTTGATCTTTATACATTGGTCTAAGATAATTAATATATATATATAAGTGTGATCAAGATAGAGATTCTCTATTTGAATTTATATGTTGATGTATGATGTTTGATCATCACACATTGGTCTAAGATAATTAATATATGTGAATTTATATGTTGATGTATGAAGTTTGATCTTCACACATTGGTCTAAGATAATGTTGATGTATGAAGTTTCATCTTCATACATTGGTCTAAGATAATTAATATGTGTGTGTGTGTGAAGATAATGTTGATGTATGAAGTTTCATCTTCACACATTGGTCTAAGATAATTAATGTGTGTGTGTGTGTGTGTGTGTTTCATCTTCACACATTGGTGTGTGTGTGTGTGTGTTTCATCTTCCCAGAATGGTGTGTGTGTGTTTGTGTGTGTGTGTGTGTTTCATCTTCACACATTGGTCTAAGATAATTAATGTGTGTATGTGTGTGTGTCTGTGTGTCTATGTGTCTGTGTCTGTGTGTCTGTGTCTGTGTGTCTGTGTTTGTGTGTCTGTGTATGTGTGTCTATGTCTCTGTGTGTCTGTGTGTCTGTGTGTCTGTGTCTCTGTGTGTATGTGTGTGTCTGTGTCTCTGTGTGTGTATGCGTGTGTGTCTGTGTGTCTG